ACAGAGACAGAAAGCCTTCCCCTGGAGCTGACGCCCTGAATTTGGACTTTTAGCCTACTTTAACTGTGAGGAAATAAACTTCTCTTTGTTAGAAACATCTACTTGTGATATTTGTTATAGCAGCACTAGATGACTAAGATAGAATTTGGTACTGAGAGAGTGGGGTGCTGCTCTAACAGATACCTAAAACGTGGAAGCGGTTTTGAAACTATGAACAGATAGAGGAGCAGCAGCGGCAAAGGACCAGCAACAGCAGAGAACCTGCAGCAGCAGAGAACCTGCAGCGGCAGAGAACCAACAGCAGCAGAACCAGGAGACCAATGTAAGACAGCGCTGGAGCTGATCCATGGAGCGAGAGAGCTGAGTCTGTGCGCAGGAGGCTTCCTGGCGGAGTGGGGTGCCTCCGGGTACTCATCGGTGGAGCTAGGCTTGCCGACCCACGGAGCAAGGGAGCTGAGTTCCTGTGTGCAGGAGGCTTCCTGGCAGAATGGGGTGCGTCCGGGCACTTACCCGTGGAGCTACAGAGCTTTGGAACACTTGCCCCAGCAGGGCAGATGTGGGCATGAGGTCCGACGACCAAGAGGCCACAGGAAACAGAAGCAGAAGCTGAAGAGACAAGGGACACAAGAAGCCGAGCTGCTTCAGTCTCAGAAGGTATGGCCATGACCTCAGGGGTTTCAAAGGGTGGAACCATGGCCTCCGGTGTTTCTAACGTGGAGTTGTCACCCGGATGGACTAGGAGAATGGTGGGCCTAAAGCCAAGGGCGCAGAGTTGCTGTCCCAGTGGGCCTGGAAGGCAGAGCTGAAGCCCAAGGCCGAGGGGCCTCCACTCAAAATCCAGAGACCGTGGCCAATACCTAGAGTCTGGGGGGCAAGGCTATTGTGTAAATTGTCTCAGAGAACAGAAGATTATTTTCAAAGCCTTGAGGGCTAATATAATGTGTTCTGCTGACTTGCTTGGTGCCTATTATCAATTCTTTTCCTCTAGTTTCTCCCACTTGTAATGGAAATGTCTAGCTTGTGCCCGTTCTGCCATTGTACCTTTGGAAGCAGATAACTTGTATTCTAGGTTTCCCAGATGAAGAGGAATTTTTGGATTTTGGACTGGTGTTAAGACTTTTGCTATGATATGATGGGGTGAATATGTTTTCCATGTTGCAAGGATGTGATTTTTTGGGGGCTAAAGGGTGGAATGTCATGGTTTGAATTATGTCCCCCAAAAAATGTGTATCAGTTTGGCTAGGCCATGATTCCTGGTACTGTGTGATTTTCCAGCATATTGTAAACCTGCCTCTATGATGTTAATGAGGGAGGACAGGTGGCAGTTGTGTTAGTAAGGCAGGACCTGATCTACAAGACTGGATTCTGTCCTGAGGCAATCTCTTGAGATACAGAAGACAGAAATGAGCAGTGAAACAGGGGGACCTCATACCATCAAGAAAGCAGTGCCGGGAGCAGAGCGCATCCTTTGGACTGGGGTCCCTGCACAGAGAAGCTCCTAGTCCAGGGGAACACTGAGGAGAAGAAGGCCAACAGAGAGAAAAAGGCTTCCCCTGGAGCTGACGCCCTGAATTTGGACTTTTAGCCTACCTTGACTGTGAGGAAATAAATTTCATTAAATCCATTAAAAAATGGATCAAAGACTTAAATATAAAACTGAAAACGACAAAGTTCGTGGAAGAAAAAATAGGGACAACGCAGGAGCCCTAATACATGGCACAAACACAATACAAACCATAAGTAACAATGCACAAGCACCAGAAGAGAGACTAGATAAATGGAAGCTCCTAAAAATCAAACACTTATGCTCATCAAAAGACTTCACCAAAAGAGTAAAAAGACAACCTATGGACTGGGAAAAAATTTTTGGCTACGACAAATCCGATCAGCGTTTAATCTCTAAAATCTACAAGATACTGCAAAACTTCAACCACAAAAAGACAAACAACCCAATTAAAAAATGGGCAAAGGATACGAAGAGGCACTTCACCAAAGAAGATATTCAGGCAGCTCACAGACACACGAAGAAATGCTCACGATCATTAGCCATTAGAGAAATGCAGATCAAAACTACAATGAGATATCATCTTACCCCAAGAAGGCTAGCATTAATCCAAAACACACAAAATAATAAATGTTGGAGAGGTTATGGAGAGACTGGAACACTTATAGACTGCTGGTGGGAATGTAAAATGGTACAACCACTTTGGAAATCGATATGTCGCTTCCTTACAAAGCAAGAAATAGAAGTACCATATGATCCAGCTACCCCGCTCCTTGGAATATATCCTACAGTAATAAGAGCCATCACACAAATAGATATATGCACACTCACGCGCATTGCAGCACTATTCACAATAGGAAAAAGATGCAAACAACCCAGGTGCCCATCGACGGAATAATGGATAAACAAATTATGGTATATCCAAACAATGGAATACTACGGAATGATAAAGAGGAACGATGAAGCCGTGAAACATCTTATAACATGGAGAAAGCTGGTACTCATTATGCTGAGTGAATTTAGTCAGTCATAGAAGAACAAAATACTATATAAGACCACTATTACAAGAACTCAAGAAAAGGTTTAAACACAGAAGAAAACATTCTTTGATGGTTACGAGGGTGGGGAGGGAGAGGGAGAGTTATTTACTAGCTAGATAGTAAATAAGAATTACCTTAGGTAAAGGGAAGGACAGCACTCACTACAGGGGAAGTCAGCACAACTGGACTAAACCAAAGCTAAGAAGTTTCCTAAATACAATCAAACACTTTGAGGGACAGAGTAGCAGGGGTAGGGGTCTGGGGACCATGCTTTCAGGGGACATCTAGGTCAACTGGCACAACAAATTTTATTAAGAAAATGTTCTGCATCCTACTTTGGTGAGTGGCGTCTGGGGTCTTAAAAGCATGCAAGGGGCCATCTAAGATGCATCAATTGGTCCCAACCACCTGGAGTAAAGGAGAGTGAAGAACACCAAGGACACAAGGAAAGTATTAGCCCAGGAGACAGAAAGGGCCACATAAACCAGAGACTTCATCAGCCTGAGACCAGAAGAACTATATGGTGCCTGGCTACCACCAATGACTGTCCTGACAGGGAACACAACAGAGATCCCAGATGGAGCAGGAGAAAGGTGGGGTGCAGCACTCAAATTCTAGTAAGAAGACCAGACTTAATGGTCTGACTGAGACTGGAGGTCCGAAAAGCATGGCCCCCAGATTCTCTATCAGCCCAGAACTAAAACAATTTCCGAGGCCAACTCTTCAGACAGGGATTGGACTGAGCTGTGGGACATAAAGTGATACTTACGAGGAGTGTGCCTCTTAGCTCAAGTAGATACAAGAGACTAAACGGGCAGCTTCTGTCTGGAGGTGAAATGGGAAGGCAGAGAGGGTTGGGAGCTGGTTCAACAGACATGGGGAATCAGGGGTGGAAAGGAGGAGTGTGTTGTCACAGTATGGGGAGAGCAATTAGAGTCACATAACAATGTATAAATTTTTGTCTGGGAGAAATTAAAAAAAAGGATTGGTCATGGGGAAGGGAAGGAATACCATCCAGGTACACAGATGCAGAGCTGGGTTCCAGGGCTGCAGGAGGAGGGCGAGAGTCTTAGTCATGGGGAGGGGACAGCACTGTGAGCACTCCAGCCAAGGAGAACAGCAAGTAAACAGATAGGTGGAGAGGGCAGGGGAGGTCTGTGGCCCTGGGTAGCCCATGGCACAATGTGGAGGTACGGGGACGAGATGGAGCAGAAGGGCATGGAGTGGATTCTAAAGTCAGCGGGACCCCATGTCGCCGGCTGTCCGGCAGCGCCCCCCATAGTGACACAGCCTGGGCTCCAGAGATGCACTGACCAGCCTGGAGGTGGCTCGGTCATGCACTGGCGGTGACATCAGGCTGGTGTTCGCCCTCTCTGAGCCCACCCTGCCATCGTCATGGCTCAGCAGCACGCTGGCAGTGACACAGGGCCGGCATTCACCCTCTCTGAGCCTACCCTGCCATCTTTGCGCACTCTTTATACTTCTCTATCTACGTGTTAGCTGTCTGTCTTCCCCGTGAGAATGAGCACTCCAGGAGCAGACCCAGGTCTCTCTCCTTCCTCATGGTACCCCTATCCCTGGCACAGGGCCCAGGACACAGAGGAGACCATCGAATCAGGCTAAGCAGCTACAGTCATCACAGGTAGCTGAGCCCCTATAGACGCCACTGCACACACCCAGCTCAGACACATGCAGTGCAGGAGGCCATGACCTTGCGGGGATGTGCACAGAACACACACCTGGCTCAGACACATGCAGTGCAGGAGGCCGAGACCCTGCAGGGACGTGCACAGGACACGCGCCCAGCTCAGACACACACAGTGCAGGAGCCCGAGACCCTGCAGGGACGTGCACAGGACACGCGCCCAGCTCAGACACACGCAGTGCAGGAGGCCGAGACCCTGCAGGGACGTGCAAAGGACACGCGCCCAGCTCAGACACACGCAGTGCAGGAGGCCGAGACCCTGCAGGGACGTGCAAAGGACACGCGCCCAGCTCAGACACACGCAGTGCAGGAGGCCGAGACCCTGCAGGGACGTGCACAAGACACGCGCCCAGCTCAGACATACGCAGTGCAGGAGGCCGAGACCCTTCAGGGATGTGCACAGGACACGTGCCCAGCTTAGACATACGCAGTGCAGGAGGCCGAGACCCTGCAGGTACGTGCACAGGACACACACCTGGGATGGAACTGAGGCCTCACCTTGATCTTCTGCTCATGCTCCACTCTCACTTCCTGGCTGGCCTGCAGTTCTTGAATCTTCTGATTTGCTTCCTGCCATTTTCTGTGGAAAGAATAGAACATCGTGTGCTGAAGCAGGTGTGAGGTGAAGCCAAAAAGCGCCCTCACTTTGAGGCCTTCCAGCGTGTACATGCACACATGTACATACACACATACACAGAGATACACTCACACACACACAAACACATACAATCACACACATGCACAGACGCTGACATACACACAGATACACATACAGCTACACAGACACAGAGATAAACACACATAGCTACACAAAAAATACACACACAGCACACACACATATACACAGACTCACACACATACACACATACAAGTCCCACACATGTACATACACACACACACACATACACATGCAGATCCACACAGACATAAATACAGACATGCAGATACACACGTACACTCGCACACAATCACACCCATGCACATACACACTGAGACACATACACAGACACACAAATACACACAGAGACAAAGAGATTCAAACATACACACATACACACATGCAGAGACACACACACAGGCGCACACACCCTCACATGCACACATACACAGAGACACAAACACACACACATATATACTTACACACAGTCTCTCACACACACACACATGCACTCTCTGCCACTGCAGGAGCACCCCAGGACCCTGTGCTCTCTCCCACCAGCCTCATGGCCTCAGTCTTCTCAACGGGGGGCAGCCTGGATCACCTGCAAATTCCTGTCCAGCTGCCCAACCATACCACTCTCTTTGTCCCTGTGGGACCACATGACCCAGTGCCTGCTCAGTGGGAGACACACAGAGCCTCCCCCAGCCCAGGGTTTCCCAGCCAACCTCCCTAACTCCGCTGGGTGACCACAACACTCTCTAAGACCACATCTGCTAACGTCACCAGTGCCTACTCACCTTGTTGGCAGAGAAGTCAGACAGCACCTCCGGGCGGCTCCTTTCCAACGTGCCCACAACTCCCAGACACACACGCTCCCACCCTCCTGTACCCCCTCTGCCTGGAGGGTCCTCTCCCACCACAGCCTGCCCACACATCCAGGGTCCTCCTCATCCTCCAGGGTCCAGCTCAAGTCTAACACTCGCTATGGAAGCCCTCACCAGATGGCAGCCACCGCTTAGGGTCTTGCTCATCCTCCGGCCTCAGACTCACCTGTGCTGCGCATCCAGCTGCTCCCTCAGTTCCTGCTTCTCGGACTCCAGGCCCTTCACCTGCATCTCCTGGTTCATCGTGCTCCACTGTAGCTCTGAGATCCTGCCCTTCAACATGCTGATGGTCTGAAGGAAGATGGGACAGAACAGGCGAGTGCCTCCTCATCAGCTGCTCAGAGGCCAGGCCTGTGCGGCCTTGCACACCTGAGCAGAGGTAGGCTCTCCCAGACATAGAGCAGAAGGTGGAAGCTGCACCTGTCACCTCCCATCCCCAGAATGAGGCCAACAAGACAGATAGCCCTGTAGGCCCCTCCCTGAGCCCCACACTCAGAAGAGCACCTCATCCAGAGCCTCCTGCTCCCAGAGCAGCTGGGGAAAGACCTGGGCACAGCCAGGCCCTGGCAAAGGCCATCTCATGGAGGAGGAGCTTCAGGGGCAAAGGGACCACCAGCCAGGAAGGTTGAACACACAGCCCAGAGCCTAGCACCTCCACAGGACATGCCCACTCCCCGGCCCTCCTACTGGGCCTCTACATCCCTCCTAGGTCTAGCCCTGCAGGCCACCAGTCCCTGCCCTGCTCTGCCCTGTTCTGTCCCATACCTGCACCTTCTCTCGGCCTACAACTCCTTCTCACCCCCCACCATACCACCCTCCCACCTATTTGCTAAAAATGGTACTATAGACAGCAGCAAGGAACTCTCTAGAACTGGGAAGTGGGGCCTAAGACTGTCCTCAGGACTAAACTGTGAAAGCCACCCAGAGGGGAGGAGCTTAGAGCCGCCTCGGGAACTGAAGAGCCCTAGGCCAGCAGCCAGGCTACAAACTACCAGGAGGACAGCATTACACAGAAAGGGGTGGGTCCAGAAAGGAGGCCGTCCTGGAGACAAGGCAGCAGGCCCATCCTGGCATCCCCCAGACAGCAGGGGCACATCAGAACTACCTCCCCTGGTTCTGACCCACCCTCACCAGCTCCTCCTGAGAACTGTCACCCCAGAAGCTCTCCCAGGGGAAAAGCGCGTGCTGGCTGGGCCATCGTGAAAAGCCGGTCCCCAGACAGATACCATGGAGAGCAACAAATGCAAATGTCCCTTCAGCAAGCTGAGGGCAAGAGACAGACCGGGACCAAGCTGCCACAGGAAGGGACACTCGGTGGTCCCAGTCTGGGGGAACAAGAGCCCATGGCACTTGTTCACCCATCCGCAAGAAGCTTACCCCCTAAGAGCCAGCTGAAACACCTCCCTACTGTCACCCAGATCCTCTAGGGGTGATGCTGGGGGGCCCCACTGTCCACCTGGGAACAATCCACATGGTCTGCTCATTACAACAGGGAACCAGAAAAAATCAAGAGGCATTAAAACCATATCCAACAAAGGAATCTGTCGTTCAGGACGTCTTACTGTGCTCAGCAGACACACCCTGGGCACTGGCGGTTTGCTGGGTACGGGGAACACGTGGGGGCATCAGACAATCACCAACAAGCAGATCACAGACAAGAGAGTGTCAAAGGGGAGCGTGCTGTGAATGAGGGTGCCTGTGGGGAGTGGAATGGCAGGTAAAAGAGAGGTAAGAGAACACAGCTAGGAGGGAGGCTGCAACCTCAGACCCAGAGCCCTGGAGGGGACGTTTACACTGAGACCCAAAAGGTAAAAGCAGCCACATCCAGGGCCCTGTTCCACCTGACTGTGGCCTTCCCCACGCTGGGTCACACTCACCATCCCCTTCACTACGTGTGTCAAGTGTTTCACTCTCCTCTGCTTTTAACTGAACTGAGTGCAGACCTACCAGCCTTCACTGAACTACAAGGCCCCACCACGGGACAGGTCACCCACACCTGCCCCTGCCACAGCTCAGAGCACGGGGATGGTGACAGGCAGCACTGTCAGATCCAGAAGGGGCACGTGTGGGATTCCTCTGGAAGCCCATCCCGCTCTCTCCTACCAGCATCCACCTCAGAAGATAGATGTAGGAGCAACCTTAACATGCTCTCCAGCATTGCTGAGGCAAAAATAACCTGGAGCTGCTTCCCAAGATCCATCAAGCAGAGAGAAGCAAGCAGAGATGGAATACCAATGATCTGCTGTCCCCACGCCCTCCCCAGCAGCGTTTCATCTTCTCCCTCCAGCACCTGTGATCTTGAACACCACAGAAACAGGACAGGAAAGGTCAGAACAGTCCAGGCTCCACCAGCATCAGCGTGGGGCTCTTTTTCTAGAATCCACACAGCCTTCAATGGATAGAGACAGTAGGGACTATCACTAATATGTGCTCTGTTTCAAAGATACTCTGAAGCCATCACATGCTAACAGACTTTGCTAAAATGAAAGAAATGCAAATCTAGAGGCACCTACGTACATCTTCTGAAAAAACAAGTGTTCCCAAAAAACACCACTATCCACTGCAGGCCATGCTAATGTGAAACTAGAATAGTCCACAGAGGCTAGTGGCACGATACAGCCACTGGTAGCAAACACCACAGAGGCAGCTATAACTGGTGACCCTACAACCCAACTGCTAGGGATTTGTCTAAATAAATAATTCAGCAAAAGCAAAAAGGTTATATGTGTGAAGATATCTGAGAAAGAGATCAAACAGGTACGCGTGTGCATATGAAAAACAAAACATTTGGAAACAACAAATAATGGATTAGCCAACCATTAAAAAATCAGAATTACAAAGACCAAAAAAGCGCTCAACTTATTAACTAAAAACCATAGAATGAGAAGTTAGTATTGTTACTACAATGACAACAATGTCTAAATGTCCGTACGTATGTGGGAAGCACTGTGAAGAATTGAAAACGTCACAGGGATATCTAAGGTGGTGGAATTCGGTGTGAATGCTCTTCTCTGACAACGGCTCTCAGGCCCAGGGAGCAGCTGCCCAGAAAGGTGGCGGCCTCACCTCGTTGGCCTCGGCCAGGCCGTCCTCCTTCTCCCGCAGTTTCTTGTTGGCGGCATCCAAGCTCTGCCGGCACGACCGGTTGCGCTCCAGCTGCTCCTTCATCTTCTCCGCCGCCTCAGCCTCACGCTCTTGCAGCTGCCGGATGCGCGTCAGTAGTTCCTGGTTTCGGTCAGCCTCGCGCTGTCAGGAGGACAGGACATGGTGTGAGTGAGAGGTGCCCCCAACGTGGGTCCTCACTCTCATCAGAGCAGGGGGGCTGCCACCAGTCCTCCCAGGGCAAGGACCGCAGCCAGAGAGGGCAGTCTCAGACCCACTGGGTAGGCCAGTGCAGACCCAGAACAGGAGATGGGACACCTCAGGGAGGGGGGCCAGGACTCCTGTGTCTACATCGGTGCCCTTACCACCGGAGCACACCTCTTGTCCTGAGAGGCCCCAGGGCTCAAGGTGGGCACTTGGCACAGACAACCCCATGCAGCACTGCACATCTGCTCGCAGGGTGGTCTCTGTAGGGAGGAGACCAGCACGAGAGCCTAAAACCCAGAGTCAACCCTGGAAAGTGCATCTGCGCTTCTGCAGCTCCAGTAGATGCCCTCATTATACCTGCTTTAACTAACCTGTGTCAGCGTCCCCTCGAGCGATGCCTGGGCAGGGTGGGGTGCAGACAGGAGCCTGCCAACAGTCTATGCCGGGGCCCAAACCTACCCGGAGTCACACATCTCTCGGGGCCTCAAGGCTACCTGGCCATGCAGGACTGTTCAGTCAGTGTGGAAGGGGCAGAACTAGGACTCACATTCAGAACTTTGACTCCAAGGATCCCTTGCCCAGGAGCACAGGAACTACAAAGCAGAAGCCAGAGTCCTGGGGACAAACGTGGTCAGTCCTGTGACAGGTGGCCTGGACAATGACCTAGAGGAGCCCCTTCAAGAGCTTCTCGTTGCTCCCAGAGCTGGCCTCACTCGGAGGAACTTGTGCTACCTACTCACAGCAGAAGTCCTGCAGCAAGGACCCTCAGGGATGCTGGGACCCTCGGGGACACCAGGAGAAGGGATCCTCGGGGACGCAGAGATCCCTGGGTGTCATGGATTGAATTGTGTCCCACAAAAATATGTGTCAACTTGGTTAGGCCATGATTCCCAATATTGTGTGGTTATCCTCCATTTTGTGATTGATATAATTTTCCTATATGTTGTAAATCCTAATCTCTGTCTGTGGTTAATGAGGCGAGATTGGATTATGATAAAGAAGATTAGGGTGAGATGTAACACCCTTGCTCAGGTCACATTCCTGATCCAACGTAAAGGGAGTTTCCCTGGGGTGTGTCCTGCACCATGTTTTATATTACAAGAGATAAAAGGAAAGGGAAGCAGCAGAGAGTGGGGGGCCTTATACAATCAAGAAAACAATGCCGGGAGCAGGGTGCGTACTTTGGACCCGAGGTTCCTGTGCAGAGAAGCTCCTAGACCACGGGAAGATTGATGACTAGGACCTTTCCCTAGAGCTGACAGAGAGAGAAAGCCTTCCACTGGAACTGACACCTTGAATTTAGACTTGTAGCCTAGCAGACCATGAGAGAATAAATTTCTCTTTGGTAAAGCCATCCACTTGTGGTATTGTGGCAGCAGCAGATGACTTAAGACACCAGGGATGCCCGGACCCCTGCGGATGCCAGGACCTTCAGGGATACAAGAACAAGGGACCCTCAGGGATGCAGTGACAGGGTGCTTTGCTAGTGCAGTACCCTGGCTGGCAGTCACAGAACCAGAACGTGGTTCTCCTTGCACTCCAGCTCCCGGTGCAGACAGGCAGCTACGGCAGGCCCTCAGCCTTTGGCCCTCGGAGTCACAACAGCTAATGGATTCCAGGTATGAGGAGTTAGATCCCCACTGTTTGTCCTACCTACCCAATGCCAAACGGGCAGCCCCTGAAAAACCATTATTGATGCCCAGGGGTCCAAGGAACAATTTGAAAGCCAGGTCTGGATGACTCCTGGGCCCCACTCAGTTGTGTCTGTGGGAAGGGACAGAGAGGCCTGTGAGAGGGAGGCTCAGGCTCACCAGCGGCCCCAGGACTCGACTGCATCGCCTCATGCCTCAGGTTTCCCCACAAAAGGGTCTGCAGACCCCTGCCATGATGACCCATCACTCGGCTCCTATACCCACAGAGCAGCAGCAGGTGCTCAGAGATATACACAGGGGAAGAGGAAGGCAGGCAACAGACAGACGCATCTACAAGCCCAGGAATGCCAAGGATTGCTGGCAGCTACTAGAAGCTGAAATGGACAAGGACCTTCCCCTGGAGCCACGCCTTTGAATTCAGACTCCCCGCCTCCTGGACTGTGAGAAAATAAATTCTGCTTTTTAAAGCCACCTCTTTCAGTATTTCTGTGACGGCATCCCTAGGAGGCTAAGACAGAAAGTGCAGATAAGCCATGTGAGGCCAAAGTGGGCCACACACCTACCCTCGGAGAGGCAGGGAGGGAGAGCACAGACTGCTTGAACCTCGACAGCATCTCCACAGCTAATCTGCACTTACTGGAAACCCTGGCAAGGTGCTGCTGAGCGAAGCCAGGGAAATAGGGGATCCACATGCTAAGTAAAACCTCATTGCTCCCCAAGCAAAAGGGAGGCTGTGTGTCTGTCCCCTGCCAGCCCTGGGCAAGCCCAGAGAAAAGAAAGCCTCCACTGAGATGAGGCACTCTCCTCTGAGGGCCTCTGACCAGCTGAGTAGGACCCAACCTGGACCCCTGGGACTCCCTAACCCTGTCGCCCCTGTGCTGCCCACAATCTCTGCCGGGTCTGCACTCTAGTTCTTGCCCCCTTCAATGCTAGCCTCTGATGGAATGCCCGACAGCCCAGACTTGATGCACCCTGGCTTTAAGCTGGCAGGGCTCCCACCTCTCACCATCTGATGGGACCACTTGCACCCACCTCGTAGTTCCGGGCACTGGTGGTGGCTGCGCGCTCCAGCTCCACACGGGCCCGCTTGTGGCTCAGCTCCATCTGCATCTTCTCCCGCTCCACCTGGATGAGGTGCGACTGGGAGCGGATCTGCTCTGCTCGCTCCTCCAGCTAAGCAAGCCCAGAAAAACAAGAGAGAGAACCTCAGCGGCTGCGTCAGCCACGGCCCCAGCTCTACTCAACCCACACCTACTGAGCACCCTCCCCAGGTGGCCGGCACTGAGCCTAGGGTACAGGAAAGAATGTCCAGGGCCCCAACTGGGAGAGAGGAAACAATAACAAGGATGGACAGAGGAGAGCATATTTCAAGATGAGCCTGTGTATGCCTGTTTGGAGAGAAGGGGCACATTCGTTTTCTGATGCCAGGTAACACACTACACACACGGAGCGGCGTGAACACCACCCAAGGTTGGCTGACAGCTCTGAGGTGAGGAGCCCACCCACAGGACTGGCGCTCTGCTCAGGGCCTCACAGGCTGAAAACAAGGTGTCAGCCAGGCTGCGCCCCACTGGAGCTCCAGGTCCCCCTCCAAGCCCAGAGCTGTGGCGAATTCAGTTCCCGTGGCTACAAGACTGAGATCCTGTGACCCTGCTGACTGTCAGCTAGGGCCACCACTGGTCCTAGAGCCCGCCTACACTCCTTGCCATGTCTCTGCTCCCTCTCCAAAGCCAGCAACGGAGAACCTCACTCAAGCCGGGGAACCTCACTCAAGCCGAGGAACCTCACTCAAGCCGAATCCCTTGTCTGCCTTGAATCTTTCAGACCTCTTTGTCTGACCTCTAGACCCAGAATGAAGGGCCCATGGGATTAGGCCAGGCCCACCCAGATTACCTCCCTACCTTAAGGTCGATTGATTTGAGACCTTAGTATCTACCAAACCCCTCTACAGCAGCACCCTGTTAGCGTGGAAAACTGGGGGGAAGTGTGCACACCAGGGGCCTAAAACTTGGGGGCCAGCTCATAATTCTACCTCCCACAGAGGTGTAGGTGGGTGGGTTCAAGCCTTGAAGGGCATCCCTGAATGTAAAAGGCTGCATCTTCACCAGCTGAAGCTGTGCTGCTCCAAGCATGGCTGCCACCCAGCAGCATGGCATAGCCTGGGGACTTCTCAGAAATACAGACTCTCAGGTCACACCCAGACCTACTGAATCGGAATCCTCCTTTTGAACATTCTCAGGTGGTTCATATGCACACTAAAGTTTGAGAAGCAATGGACTAGATAGGGCAGTGGTTCTTAGCCGGAGCCAATACTCCCTTTCCCCCACCCCCACCCCAGCACATTTGGCAGTGTCTGGAAATATTTCTGAGTATCATGACTAGGGGGAGGGTACTACCAGTATGCAGGGGGTAGAGGCCAGGGATGCTGCTCGACCTCCCACAGTGCACAGGAAAGTCCTGCAAACTAAAATCATCCAGCCCGAAACGTCCACAGTGCCAAGGACAAGCAATCCAGGTGCGAGGAAAGGCATCTTCATCATTCCCCTCACGTGTGCTTTTTGAGGGTCCAGTCCACCTTCTTTAACCCTATCGTATTTTCTCTTATTTCAGTCCCCACCTATTGATATCTGGGGAGTCCTAATTCTGTCCTTCAGTGAACCCACTAGCCTTTCCAGCCTGGTTGTGATAAGCAGGCCTGTTACATCCACATCTATACCTGTCCTGCTCCAAGAAGGAGGGCACTACACCTCCCAGGGATGGCACAGCAGAGAGACCAGGACCACAAATACACATGATACATGAGCACATCTTTCTGGAACATCGATTTCATCAGAAAGAACGTAATTCAAACATTATGCTTCCATTTAAACAACAATGTGACAGAGGACACTGTACACAACTTCAAGCTAAAATAGAAGCCCTAAAAAAATGAAAACAAAAAAGGGCTTTGGCCGGCAAGACAGACCAATCTCTGCCTCCAGACCCACAGGCCCGCGGCATCCTCAGCCCTTCTCGCCTGCCATCTCGGGAGGCTTCAGCAGACAAGAGGAAGAACTGTGACTACAGTCCCGGGACAAGGCACGGGCAAGAACGGGCCTGCGCAGGTCCTCCAGGCTGCTGTGACTATGAACCAGCATGCCCTGCGAAAGGCACCCAGAGACTTGCCCCCGTAACTGAGAAAGTACATAACAGGACCACAAACTGATCAAGAGCTGGATCCTCCAAGGTCCAGTTCAGGTTCTACAATACTCTGGTTCTGACACAAGCCAAAAGTCCCCAAGCATTTGCATCAAATAAAATTATAACACCTTTTTAGACCAGAGTTGCCAACTTCTTATTTTGCCAGTGAGTAAGTGTCAAAAACAACCATCATCTATTACCACCACCATTTACGAAGAGAGTTTTAACCCCCAAATAAAAAAAAGTATAAAAGGTCTAATCTCAGGATAAAGAGCAGCCCTTGCTAAGAAAGGACACTAACAAATATGCAGAATTCAATCACTCGACCAATGAATGTGAAAACAAAAAAAAAAGACAAAACACAATACCAGTTGCTCTCAAGTCAACTCTGACTCACAGCAACCCCATGTGTGTCAGAGCAGAACTGCTCCATAGGGTTTTCATGGCTGTGACCTTTCAGAAGCAGACTGCCAGTCCTTTCTTCCAAGGTGCCTCTGGGTGGTTTCAAACCACCAACCTTTCAGTTAGCAATCAAGAACTTAACCACTTGTGCCACCCAGGACTCCAAATGTGAAACACACCCCCATTTGTTTTATGAAATGCTGCCATGGGCCTCATCGGGGCTCCGAGGGCAAGAGGAAGCCACCAGCCAGTCTGACTCAAGCTACATCAGCAGGATGGCTCCAGCAGCACCTGCAGGGAGATGGGAAGGGGACAAGCAGAGGGGCCAGTGGAGCTTGGGGCAGCAGGCAGGCAGAAATGACAGGCCCGGGTGGGACTAAGGATACCACATCTCCCTGTTGTCTGGACCCAGGTATCCCCAACCCCACAACCCTGGGCCCTGGACGCCTTTGAACTATGTCTGCAGTGAGACAAGAACGTGGAATAAAGACAATCAGACTATAACCAGAGCTAAACTGCAAAAATCATCCATAGCCAAGTTCAGCAAAGATGAGCAAACGGCCCCAGAGTCTGAGACCATGACACGTCCACTTCCTTCACTGATGGCCCTGGTGCCCCCACTGGGCTGATCAAGCGACGTGTGGTCACAGCACAGCCTTCCCGAGGGTCAGCAAGTTGGCTGGAGGCCCCGGCAGCCATGCTCCCAGGCAGTGTGTTTTCTGACTCAGTTCCATGAATAAAGTGACCTTCCAGTCCTATAGCTAGTGCATATGAGCTCGTGTATGTGCAGGCGTGAGCTGGGGCTGGAGAGCATCAGTCCCGTTCAGGGCTAGATCCTGGACTCCAGTCATCTCCCCAAAAGTAGGGACACCCACACTGGAGATCAGGCCATCTCCCCAAAACTAAGAATGCCCATGTTGGAGACCCAGCCATATCCCCAAACCAGGAATGCCCATGTTGGTGACCCGGCCATATCCCCAAACCAGGAATTCCCAGGTTAGAGATTTGGCCATCTCCCTAAAACCAAGAACATCCACGTTGGAGACCCAGCCATCTCCTCAAACTAGGAACACCCGTGTTGGAAATCTAGCTATATCCCCAAAACCAGGTTGGGATCTAGAAGACGGCCAGAGGGCCTCAAGGTTTCCAGAGGACACTGACCTGCCTGACACCCTGAGCCCTGAGCAGGCCCTCCCAAATCCCAGGCCACCCAGGCCCCTCACCTGCATGCTCTGCTGGTACTGCATCTGCAGAGAGCCCGGTACTGAGGCGCAGACATCCAGCCCAGGCCCACCCTCCACTCGCTGAGAAATGAAGTTGTTCAGTGATCTCAGGGAAGACAGAACAGTGGTGTTTTCCCCCAGGTCTTCCATTGCCACCGTCCTTCTGGAGGGAGACAAAAGAGAGGTTACAGGAAGCTCTTCCAGGAGCCATCAGCTCTGTCATCCACCATGGTTAGGGGGTGCCTTTGAGTAGTCCTACTTTTCCAAACAAAAACAAAAACCAATCCCATTGCCATCGAGTTGATTCAGACCCATAGCGACCCTACAGGACAGAGGAGAACTGCCCCATAGGGTTTCCAAGGAGTGGTTGGTGGATTCGAACTGCCGACCTTTCGGTTAGCAGCTGAGCTCTTAACCATTGTGCTACCAGGGCTCCTATCACTCTCTTTAAAGAAAAAACCAGTTACCTGGAGTTGAATCCAACTTACAGCCACCCCATATGTCAGAGTAGAACTGTTTTCCATAGGGTTTTCAATGGCTGGTTTTTTGGAAGTAGATCACCAGGCTTTTCTTCCAAGGCACCAATGGACTCGAACCTCCAACCTTTCCATTAGCAGCTGAGTACATTAACTAACTGCACCGCCCAAGGACTCCAAAGCTCTCTTACAGCCCTTAAAACATTCCAGTGTCCACAACCAAGTTCTTAGGAAGTTAACTGAGAGTCCATAGTCCAACACTACCAGAAAAGAAATGAAGGCATGAAAAGACCATACAAAAAGACAACATAACACTAAACCTCAGCCACTGAGCTAGCTGACTGCTAGGGTGCTATATATCTGCTCCTGGCAGGACAAAAACAATGGCAACACAGATGATGGTGACAACAGCAGTGTTAATTGTCATTATATGTTAGCGATGACACCAGTGAGTCTTACTGCTATTTTCATGGGTACCAAAAAGAAAAGCATCAGACATTTACTGAGCACTCCGACTTCTTCAGCCTCAGTTTCCTCGTCTATAAACTGAGGATAATGAAAGCAACTTTGTAAAGCTGTTGGGAGGACCACAAACAATGTGATTTTTCTTAGGACATCACAATCTTTACCACAGGCTGATGAATTCGTTCTTTCTACACACATTTTAGAAATAATGACACCAAGGCTTCAAAAAGTTACAGAGCTGAGATTGGAATCCAGGTGTGTCTGGCTCCAAAGGCTCTGCGTGGCCACGAGCCAGTGTGCAGTGGGGCTGAGAAACAGCAGCCTGTGCTCACAGCCTGACACCAGGCAGGAGGTGTGTAATGCCTACAACCAACAACATGTCCCCCTCAGGACAACAGCCTGCTCTCTCTTTCATTCCCCTTAAGTGTTAGATTGAAAAACACCTCCCACCCTCACCGCCTGAAAAAGAAAGCAAGTGAAGAATCTTAGGTCTGACTCTGAATTCTCCTTTTAACAGGAACCTGGGCCTTGTGCAAGTGGAGTCCTTATCTTCTCGGGGCGTTAAGTCCACCCCCGTGAAAGGCAGCTGCTCTTCCCCACCTGTCAGTCACACTGTGCAGTAAAAATGGTTGGAGGAGTACAGAATGAGCACTCCCACGGCTGTGAGCCTCACAGACAAAGGCCTAAAGGGCAGAATGCAGCAGAGCACTCCTGAGAAGCCCAAATCCTTCCATTTGGCAAGATTAGACCAGGGCCACACTTTTTCATGCCATGATGAAAAATATAGCAAATATATCCTCTTATAAGAATGCCATCTCCTAGAAGAACTGACATATGGAATACACTAGAATGAAAAGAACATGTACATCAGCTACCTGGAAAACTCCATCCTCCTCATCCAAGAGACTGGAACTTTCCGGCCACCTAACCCCTGAGCCCAGCAGAACCCCTTGAGCTAGAAGTCAAGAGCACACTCTCAACTGCCCTCCTCCAAACGGACTGCTATCAAAACTGTCTTAGTCATCTAGAGCTGCTATAACAGAAATACCACAAGCTGATAGCTTTAACGAAGAGAAATTTCCTCTCTCACAGTCTAGTAGGCTAGAAGTCCAAATTCAGGGCATTAGCTCCAGAGGAAGACTGTCTCTTCAGGAAGGTCCTTGTCATCAATCTTCCCCTGGACTAGGAGCTTCTCTGCACAGGAACCCTGGGTCCAAAGGACGCACTCTGCTCTAAGCGCTGCTTTCTTGGTGGTATGTGGTCCCCCACTCTCTGCTCACTTCTCTCTCCTTTTATCTCTTGTAAGATAAAAGGTGATGCAGGCCACACCTCAGGGAAATTCCCTTTACATTGGATCAGGGATGTGACCTGAGAAACGGTGTTACATCCCACCCTAATCTCTTTAACATAACCCAGTCTTGCCTCATTAACCACAGGCAGAGATTAGGGTTTACAACACAAAGGAAAATCACATCAATCAGGAAAGGGAGGACAACCACACAATACTGGGAATCATGGCCTAATGAAGTTGACACATATTTTGGGGGGACACAATTCAATCCATAACAAAAACCTACAGAAATTACATGGACCCTCACCATCCACAACACCACTTCACATAGCGAGTCCCACCACCCATTACACTAGGCTAAGTCAGCAGGAGTCCCTGGGTGGTGCAAATGATTAAGCACTCCACTAGCTGAAAAGTTGGCAGTTTGAACCCACCGGGAGATGCCTCAGAAGACTGGCCTAGCGATTTACTTCCAAAAGGTCATAGCCTAGAAAACTCTATGTAGCAGTTCTATCCTGCACGTGTGTGGTGGCCATGAGTCGAAACCTACTCCATGGCAACTAACAAGTCGGCCACACACATTTTCTACTTTCTCCAAATGCATACTACATATGAAACATAAGTTCCTACTAGCTGCAGTACCTGGGTGGCGCAAATGGTTAATACACTTGGCTGATAATGGAAAGATTGGAGGTTCAAGTGCACCCAGAGGTGTGTCAGAAGAAAGGCCTGATGATCTACTTCCAAAAAATCAGCTACTGAAAATCCTATGGAGCACAGTTCTACTCTGACACATATGGGGTCACCATGAGTTGGCATCGACTTGACAGCAACTCGTACTGGTACTTTTCTATTATGAGTGGTGTGAGCCATCTCTGTCAACTGGAGTAGGGCAACTACCATGCTTTCTTCATGTGGAGAAATGGAGATGAAGGTGCAGTCACTCCTGAGGGCCGAGCTCAGGGAAGAGCATCCCTCTCTACTGACAGTCTCTGAGGCTCCGAGCTTCCTAAGGACTGACATCCCCAACACTGGCCAGGAAACCATCCCTCTGGTCCTCACGGTCACCTGCTCGGCTCTGTTGACAAGCTGCTCAGTCCTAGCGAGTCCCTCAGGTCCAACAGCTAAGCAGAGGCTTGAGGAACTGACCACAAAGTGTGATGTCAAAAGAACAAGAGTGACCAAGGATGCTAAGAGGCTCGGAGTCAGTGGAGAGAGAACGTGGGGAGAAGGGGGATGGCAAAGACCCTGATACAGGGTGAGAAGGGAAGGGGAAAGCCCGACCTCGCGGGAAAGACAAGTCTAGTGGGGGGGCGGAGCCGCACCCCGGGGCGAGGAGGAACGAGGGAAGGCTGAACCCCGCGGGGCGGGACCGAAGTCAGACCTCCACAGACGAGGGCAGATCCGGGAGCGCCAGGTCATCAAAAGAGTGGGGTCCCAGCCCGAGGCAAGGAGGGACGGAGGCTGGATCGGACCCCCACAGGCGGGCGCAGAAAGGAGCACCCGAGGTACAGGGAGCAGGGACGGGCGGCGATCGCGCGGCGGGGCCCGAGAAGAGGCAGCCTGACCCAGCCCCACGCCCCGCGCTCTGCCCTCACCTACGCCGCCTCAGCCCGTTGCCGCCGCTCGGATCTCCCTCCTCCGGCCGGCGCCCGCGTCTCGCGAGAGGTGTGGCCGAGTCTCGCGAGACGTGACGGGATACGCGCCGGGCTGCGACCGGCTTCGCGCTCGGTTGGTTTTGGGTTCCGGCGTCCGCACATGGTGCCGCCTGCTGCCCCGAGAGGACTCAAAGCCGAAGGACGCACAATGGAATATCGGGATGCCCCCCACCCACCGCAGGGTGGGCTTCAACGGAGGCACAATGCCTTGTACCGTAATGTGTGGAGTAGCAGTGCCAACGGTGGCCTCCTAGGGCCAAACTTTTCTGCACTCTTCATTCTGTGAAAGATTTTACCACAGTATTTGAACGAGTATTTGAATTAATATGTCTTTTCCTTTTCTATGGACTGCCTGGGAAATATAGACTAGTTATGCTTACTAGGCTATCTATCCGTCTTACCAGTGCTCTGTAGGCTCCTGGAGCGCCGGAACCTAGTCTAATTCCCCTCTTCTTCCAGGGTGCAGCATGTAATTGAAAAAAAAAAAAAAATCATTGCCATCGAGTCGATTCAGACTCATAGCGAGCCTACAGACAGAGTAGAACTGCCCCATCTAGTTTCCAAGGAGCGCCCGGTGAATTCGAACACGCCGACCTTTCGGTTAAGCAGCCATAGCGCTTAACCACTACACCAGCAGGGTTTTCCAGTATGTAGTAGGGGGTGAAAAAGACAACCTCCAACAGCCAGCCCCCTGTGCAGCGCCCGCCGCTGACCCTCGACTCAGTACTAGCTTGTAGCAGTTATCCCATTGCTCCCTGAGTTACAGTAACTTTGTGTATCCGTTAACATAGAGCCCTCCCTTCCCTGAGGACGGTTTGTGTTCGGTTTTTTTCTAAATTCTCACCGTCTCCTCCCTCCACGGCCCTGCTCCGTACTTTCCTCTAAAGTGCTGTTCACAGGGGGTTGCATCGATTTTCCATAAGACAAGACTTCCAAGTCTGTGTGACTCCAGAAAGAAATAGTGCTGGGGGTAGGGTGTGCTGGAGGTAGGACCTTGCATTCTCTGGACTTAACCGATTGCAACCAAAATTTTTAAAAAAAATTTTTTTAAACCTGGCCTGCAGCTTCCTTCAGGGAGATGGACCAGACCCCATAGCTCTGATGGGGATTCCTGGGTATCTATTCTCCCCACCGGTCCCTGGGATTTAATCCTCGATACAGTCAATGATCTCTTCTTGAGGGATGAGCACACCTCCAGGAAATGGCTTTTAAGAAACCAGTTTATTAAAAAAAAAACTAAAGCATGGAAATTCCTTAATACAATGTATATTCTTTTATAGATATGCATCAAGTTCCTGGAAGAGTAAAAGAAAATAAATGAACACACCACATCACTGCTTGCTTTGGCAATTACCTTTATGGTCTTTGGAGCCTGCAGGATTACAGCAATATAGATTTCCAACAGAAGTCAAGGCATACCCACCCCGTGCATAAATACATACCAAATGTCTTCCCTAATTGCTCTGGGAACTCGTTCTGCGTGAAGAATGGATGCATTCTCAGATTATCCACCAGAGAGAAGGAAATTCATCCCCAGGTTGAAATATCTGATTTTTCTGCATTACACTATGTAGCCAAGATAACAACCTGTGCATTGTTATCTTTAGACCAAGGGTGGAAACCTGCTTCCCTGTAGGATGCTAAGTCTGTAAGGCAGTGAAGCTACATGGAGGTATCTCTGCCTCAGTATATTCTTTTTTATCTTTCCCTCAGTCAGTCTCTTTTTACCCTTCTCTCTTCCCCTATCTTTTGCTCATAACTTTATCTTCACAAATTATGACCCAGAAGGCTGTTTTTTATCATATACCGTGGCCATTGAATATAGTTGTGCCATCTCTTTTTGGTTTAAAAAAGGGTTCCCACTTGTCCTGCTGTACCTCCCAGACAACATCTCCACTCTCCCAGCAGCTCTTGGCTACATTTGCTATTTAAAAGGATCTAACCACTATGAGGGAGTGCCTGGATGGTGCAAATGGTGGACATGCTCAGCTGCTAACCGAAAGGTTGGAGGTTCAAGTGCACCCAGACAATTTACTTCTGAAAAACCAGCCACTGAAAACCGTATGGAGCACAGTTCTACTCTGACACACGTGTGTGGGTCACCATGAGTCGGAGCCACCAGGAGGAAACTGACAGGCAGGACTCTCATTCCTCCGCAGACCCTTTCCCTCTCCAGTACTGTGTGGCCAAGAGGTACACCTCTGATGATTCTTTCCTGCTGGCGCTGGGTTTTATAGTCCTTGTGCTCTGGAATTCCTGTGTCAGTCTCTTCTGCAGTCGATGGCTTTGACTTCCAGCCCAGATTTTACACAGGAATGTCCCCCCCGGGTGCAAGATGTGTGGTGCCAAGTCCAGAAGGGACCAGCAGAGGCTGATGAGCCTGTCGTGATCGAGGGCCGAGATTCCCGTGGCGTTGGGGGCCATGTCACTCAGAATCACATCTGCCCTGTGTCCAGGAAGCAGTTCTCGGATTCTCTGGAAGGTTCTCAGGTCAGTCACATCAGCAGGGCACAAAAAAGTGGCTCCTTCCAGGGGGAATATGTGAAGAAGATCTACTCCAAGCACAAAGCCGATAGGAGAGCTGGGATCTAAGGAAGAAACAGTGAATGTACTGTTTATATCCTGAATTTTTCCAGAAGAATACATACCACAAAATGGTCACAAAGAAATAGCAGGACCAAGGAAAAGAGCTAATGTGCAAACCTGCTCACACGAGGCCTTTTCCTACTGTCTACATACCCTATGAAGACATGGCAGGGGAGGCATCCTTAATGCCACATATGAGAAACGGAGGCCCAGAGAGGACAAGCTTCCTTCCCAGAGTCACACAGTGACAGGCTGGCCCAGGGCTCCACCCAGGACTTCTGACTCCAACTCTAATACCATCTCAGGACTCCAGGCCATCTCTGTGAAAGGTTCTTATCGCTGATCTTTATCTTTTTGATTAACTAAAATAGAAAGTGATATCCATAAAGTCCCTTGCCATTGAATCAATTCCAACGGCCCCATAGGGTTTCCAAGGCTGCAATCTCTATGGAAGCTGACTGCCACATCGTTCTCCACCAGAGTGACAGGTGGGTTTGAACCACCAACTTTTTGGTTAGCAGCCGACCACTTAACCACTGTGCCACCAGGGCTGCTATAGAAAGCCATACACTGGTATAGAAAGTGTCTCTGGACTAAATCAGCAAATCCATTCTGCAGCTTAATCCAATTTCTTGCAGTACATAAAACTATTAGAAACAAACAGAGAGATAGGAAAATGCACAGGTACAAAATAGGGTACAAAAATCAATATCCAACCCATAGTTCAGTAATACCAGTTGTAAAATAAAAAAGATCCTCTTGTTTCATGGGACTCCCCACCCCGCCAACAGCTCTCCTCAGCCTCCACAAACCCCCACCCTGCACCACGTTTAAAGCCCCTCCTTCACGGGCCCTGGAGCGCATCTCTACATTAATCCTGGCATTGAGAAGGGCCTCTGGCTCTGTCAATAACTCATTTTTTTAAGGGTACAGTCACGGTCTGCTAGTTTATTCTGCTACATAAAAGGCTGTGCTACCTAAAGATTGGAAGTCCAGGTATTTTGAACAGTACCTCATTTCTCAGAGGTAAACACCCTCACATTTCATCTCCAGAAAGCAGGACACCTCCTGTCTCACTTTCCTCACTGGAACTTTCTTTCCTTTAACATCCCATCTACTGCAACCTAGGAAGCCGCTAATAAAGGCAAATGACTGGTTGCATTTTTGCAACTCCTGGGAGGAAAAGAAACCAAATTCAGATTATCCACACACTTTGCTATTTGCCACTTCTTCCTACATCTTAAATGGAGCCATTTCCCTGCTTCTGAAGAACAACAAAGGGATCAGGAACCACTGACTTTGGCTGTTAGGTCTGCGGATAGGCTCAGTGGTGGGAAAAGGAACTAAATTGTCTGATACAAAATTTACTCAGTAAATTTTTACTGAGCCAAAAAAGCAGGTAGGGGCTGTTCTAAAGCCCTGGGAGACTTCCCAGCCACAGGCATGGCCACTCAAGGGGCGGCAGCAAAGTCAACAAGTTCACCAGACACCTATCACCTGTGAGGCTGGTGCATGAGCCAGAGCCCAGCATCCCCAGCTCTGCACTTGAACAAGTCACTGAACTCTGAACCTCAACTTCCTAATTAAGAAATGGCCACAGGGGGCTTGCTCTAACGTGTGTTGTTGTTAGTTGCCGTCAGGTAGATTCCAATTCATGGTGACTCCATGTGTGCAGAGTAGAACTGCCCCATAGGGTATTCAAGGTGTGTGGGAGAGACCTTTGTGAACTGCTACACATGGTTTAAACACCAGGGCCTGCAGGTGCCCTCAAACTCTACAGCAGGAAATGTGAACGTTAAGGAGACTCCCAGGAGCAGCAGCGCATATACTAGCAACACACCTGGAAGCAGCCTGGATGCCCCAAATAAGGGGGCTGGTTAGCCTACAGCATAACCACTACATGGAACACGATGCAGCTGTTTACAATGAGGACACCATCTTCTGACTCTATAGATGGTTGCTTTGTCTGTTTTTTAATCAGGGAAACCTTTTCACATAGAACATCTCAGTCAAAACCCTAAAAGGTAAAGCAGATAAAGGCTGACCCCATGGGTTGACCAGAGTAGAGAACCCAGAGTCTAGTCATGAAGCCCCTGAGATCCTCAAGGCAGGCAGCCATGTAGGACCTCTGTGGGGATTCCAGGAACAGGATGTAGAAACCTCTGGGGTTGACTCAGTTGTCCTGTCATGGAAAGATGGCTGATTGTGAAGTGAAAAGAGCAGGCTCCAAATAACAAGAAGAGTATGGTATAATATCATTTTTGAAAATATAATAAAGCATATATATGTAGATATATATACAAAGGAGTCCCTGGGTAGTAAAATGGTTAACACACTCAGCTGCTAACCAAAAGGCTGGAGGTTCAAGTCCATCCAGAGGCACCTCAGAAGAAAGGCCTGGTGCTCTACTTTTGAAAAATCAGCCACTGAAAACCTTATGGAGCACAGTTCTACTCTGACACACATGGAGTCACCATAAGTCAGAATCAACTAGATGACAACTGGGCTTTTTTTTATGTAAAAACAAATTCTGAGAGGATGTACACCAAAGTGAAAATGTTGTTATATCCAGGTGTGGAGTCCCTGGGTGGTGCAAACAATTAAGTGCTCGGTCACTAGCCAGAAGGTAGATGGTTCGAACCTACCCAGAGGTGCCTCTGGAGACAGGCCTGGTCACCCTCCTTTCAAGGTCACAGCCTTGAAAACCCTATGGAGCAGTTCTGCTCTGTACACGGGATTGCCATGAGTTGGAATCTACTTGACAGCAACAACAATAATGACATCTCGGTGGCGTGACTCGAGCTGATGCTCATTTTCATTGCACCTTCATACGTTGTCTTTCATGCTCTGTTTTTATCATTATTATTACTAGACTACCAACTCCAAATTATGTGCCGTCAGAAAGTGGCTCACTAGCCCCATGGCATGGACAGACGGGAGGGCAGCTCGCTTGCACCTGCTTAGCCTCCTGGCCCTCAGAGGCTCACCTGTGCCTGCAGCATTGACACTGTGCACGGCCACCTGACTCCAGGCCCCAGGCGCTGCTCCACAGTCCAGCACCCGAAGCCCGGGCCGCAGTATCTGGTGCCTCTCATTCATCTCCAGGAGCTTGAAGGCACTCCGGCACCGGTAACTCTCCACCTTTGCTGCCTTCACAAACGGGTCCTTCAAGTGCCGCATTAGCCACAGGTGCTCGGCGCCCGTCCGGCCCTTGGGACAACTCACAGCCGTGTGGAACCTCTGAAGGGACATGCACGCTAGCTTGAAGTACCTGTTGAGAGAACAAAGAGTCACACAGGTTAGCATTCCGTAGATCAGCAGGTCACCAGCTTAGAGGGGCCCTTTGTTCAACCCACTCATTTGGAGAGATGGGGCCCTGACACCCAAGAGGAAAGGGGCTTGACAAAGCTACAGCCAGAAAGCAGGGATTCTACATTCTGGTCAAGAAGGGTTTTTTTCCCCTGAAGTATTTTAATTAGAAGGGATTAAACAAGTCACCTTGTTTATAGCAACCAAAATTTTCCCAATACTAGTTAACATCAGGCAGCTGAGTGTCACAAACAGTTAAGCGCTCAACTACTAGCCAAAAGGTTGGCAGTTTGAACCCACCCAGAGGAGCCTCAGAAGACAGGCCTGGCAATCTACTTCTAAAAGGTCACATCCTTCAAAACCCTATGGAGCAGTTCTGACACACAAGCAGTTGCCATGAGTCGGAATCTACTCCACAGCAACTGACAACAACAGTTAATGTTCCTGATAAAATTAATGCAAGCAATATTCTTTTCTCATCTGGCATAAATTTTCACTGGGCTCTGAGAGTGTGAGAAAACCCAGGAGAACTAGCCCTGGCTTTTAGTTACTTGGTTACATGTCTTCAGCATCTAGCACAGGACCGGCCTGTCAAATTCTTTAATAAAATTGAACTCAACCCGTGTGAATAGCTGAAGGACAATTTCCGAGTGTCCTTGGACAAGTTAGGCTTTTAACAGTTACTGACTGCCCATCATGGCCAGCACCATGTCAGGAGCTAGACACACCTCCCCTCACTTAACACTCAGACCAACTTTACAAAGTAAGTTCTAGGTCCATTTTTTCTGAGCAGAGAAAGCTATCACTATCCCCATTGTTGTTGATGGGTGCCGTGGAGTCAGTTTTCGACTCACAGTGCCCTCATGTGACAGAGCAGAACTGCCCCATAGGGTTTCCTAGGCTGTAATCTATGGGAGCAGATCGCCAAGCCTTTCTCCTGCTGAGCCACTGGGTGGTTTCAAACCACCGACCTTTCAGTTAGCACCCAAGTGCTTGTTAGCCATGTGCAAATAGCTCCAAGGCCCCATGCTCCTTCAACACCAAAGCACATAGACACATCTGGAAACAATGACTAGTGTATCACTGTCTTCAGAAGGCTTATGGGGTCTGAGGAAAGACAGCATAGACTGATCCTGGAACACCAGAACAAATTCCAGTGCTGGGAAGGGATGGACAGTGGAATTCACAGGTAGACAAAATGAAGACTTTTCTCACACATCCACTAATCTGACAATTAAGGCCGCTGGCCTCTGCAGTCCCATTCCCCAGCCCCCCCCCCCCCCCCCATCCCTGCCACTGAACTCTCCCCACAGAGGCCCTCTGTCTCTCAGAAGTCCCATGCACCCTCGGGCATGGGTCTCTTTCACAGGCTCTCCTCTCCCCTCCGTACGATCTCATCAGCCCTCCACCTAGTCACCTGCTCAGTGATGCATCCCCGCCCCCTCTGCCTCCCCCTCAACACAACTGTGACACAGTAGTCACGTGCTTTGTGATTTAAAGTTCTTGCCCTAGACAAGCTCCCGGGGACTAAGCACTGGATGTTTTGCTCTAACATTAATTGTGCACTTACTGTGTCCCAAGCACTGTTGATCGGCACCGTATATTACTTCCTTTTAATCCTCAATACGAGGTCACTGGGTGACACAAACGGTTTGCGCTGGACTACTAACCTAAAGATTGTTAGTTTGACCCCACTGCGGTTAGTGGTACCGTGGAAGAAAGGCCTGCCGATCTGCCTCCATAAAAGATTACAGCCAAGAAAACCCTACAGGGTAGCTCTTCTCTGCACATATTGGGTCGCCATGAATCAGAATCGACCCCACAGCAACCGACAACAGCAATCCTCACAACAACCCTAGGAGATAAGCGGTGGGGGCACTCCCCGTCTAGTACCGGGACACCGAAGTTTAGAGGGTGGAACGCGGCGGGCGACTCTCACCCGTTGACTCCTCTCTGCACGCGGGCACAAGTGTGCAGCAAGCGCTCCATAAACGCAGGATGAGTCCACAACTGCTCCCACACCACTGCCACTCAGTCCGCGAACGGTGTCCGACTCGGCTGCCTAGGCTGCGCCTGCGCTGCCGGAAGTACCCGGTCACACTTTCTGTCTCACTTCCGGCGCGCGAACCGCCACTTTCTGCCCGACGAGCGGGAATTATGGAGCACCTACTATATGCATAGTAGGCCAGACCGAAACTGGTTCTACGGTTGTTGTCTTATCCTCCCCTCGAAAGGGGCCACAGTTCGCAGGAGACTCCGTGCGGGGGCCACAGGGCCGACTGTGGGGCTGACTCTGCCCCTGACATTAAGGGACCCGCCTAATTCTAGGAGCCGTGACCCGTGTGGCATTACTGCCTCCGCGCTTTGACCTTGGGTGAGTTACTTAGCCGTCCTGATCGTCAGTTTCCTCCTCTGAGGCTGCAGAAGTCAAGTCTTAATTTATAGACTTGTTGGATCTATGAAATGGGATAATTTTTTAAAACAGTTACCACCCTGCCTAGTATATGCCAATCAACCAACCAATTGCCATGGAATCGACTCTTACTTAGGGCGACCTCACGTGTGCCAGAGTACAGCTGTGCTTCATAGGGTTTTCAGTGGCTGGTTTTTTGGAAGCAGATCGCCAGGCCTTTCTTCCACGGTGACTTAGGTTAAACTCAAACCTCCAACCTTTTAGTTAGCATCCAAGCATGTTCACTGTTTGCACCACCCAGGGACTCCACGTGGTATATTGTTGGGTTCCATGGAGTTGGTTCCAACTTATAGTGGCCCAGTGTGACAAGAGTGGAACAGTGCCATAGGGTTTCCTTGGCTGTAATCTTTATGGGAGCAGATCTCCAGGTCTTTGCTTCCACAAAGCCAATGGGTGGGATCAAACTGCCAGCCTTTTGGTTACCAGCCTCACGTTTAACCATTGTGACACTAGATATAGTCAGTGCATACTAAACGCTAGCTGACGTTGCTAGAATCATCATCATAGTTTGCTCAAGAAGTCAGGGTATAGGGCATGAGCAGGTCAGTGTCAGGACACAGGCCTGATGGCAGTTACAGCCTGAGACTAGGGAGACCCAGTCTTCCCTGGCTTTCTCCCTCCACCAGGAACCAGACAGACATCTTTTATCCAGAGCTTCCAACCAATTTGGTTTGTTTCAACCTCCTGCTGAGAATTTGCCTTTCCACCCCCAGATATACTGAATCAGAATCACATTTTATCACGATCCACAGGTAATTCTTATGTATAATAAATTTTGAGAACCACTGCTTTACTAGTGGTTCTCAGAATTGGTCCCTAATCAGCAACATTAACATCGCCTGGGAAACTTGTTAGAAATACAGATTCTCAGCAGGAGGTCGAACCAACCCAAAGCCCTGCTTTTATCAGAAACCATGGCATCCAAGGAGGACCCCAGTGCTAAATCCTGAGCCCCACCTGGGTGTAATCCCCGAGTAGGAGCCTTGAGTTCCATAGACCCCAGGCCAGGAAGGCTTGGAGAGGGAAAGATCGATGGGAAACTTGTCCCGGTCCTCTAGCTTTTCTTCAGCATCTTGCCTCCAGCAATAATGCAGGTAAAGTCTCACTCTTAGTGTCTTTCTCTGGACCATGCAGGGAGGGCCTTTGGGATTCCAGTGTCCTCTTGGGTACTAGGTCTCAGAGCAACAATGGTTCCAAGCAGGATATGAACTCCTTTCATAGGAGGGAGGCCTAGTCTTGTGGGTGCACGCGCCCTGTCTGGAGCCATGCATTTTCTGGGATTCAGGGCCTGCTGCTACAGAGACAGAATCAGATCCAGTACCCCAAAGAAGCCTAGGGTAGTAAGAAGGCAAAGGCTACAGGCCAACAGGAGAACTGTTGCACTTGCCGCACACTTATTTTGGTCCCAGGTGGGCATGGGGGCTGGTCTGCCCTCCTGCTTCTGTATGCGGCTTTGGGTTCCAAGGGGTGGATGCAGGAGCAGGAACAGTCCTTTTGGGAAAGGTCATGTGTCCTCTATACCTAAGAGAGTAAGGAATGGGGGAAGGAAGATGGAGCCAGCCCTGACTGCTGGAGGCTGGGCGCTGATGCCCTGTAGTCTGAGGGCTAGGCCTGTTTCTAAGGAGCCCTGGTGGTGCAACAGTTAAGCACTCTGCTATTAACAGAAAGGTTGGCAGTTTGAACCCACCCAGCAGAAGAAAGGCCTGGCAATCTACTTCCGTAAAGATTACAGCTAAGAAAACCCTGTGGGGCAGTTCTGCTCTGTCACACAGGGTGACTATGAGTCAGAATCGACTCCACAGCACCCAACAACAGACCTGTTTCTACCTCCACTTACCCCTCATGCCACCTACCATGTGGAAGGGCTAGGAATTACCACCAGCCTTCCCTCCTGTCTTCTAAAGTGCATTTCCCTTCCACCTGCCCACTGCAGCACATCCTCTTCCATCCACGCACCATCCACACCAATCAAGGCTGACCCAGCCCTTTTGCCCTTCTCATAGACTGAAGGGGACCATGAGCACCACCAGGCTGTATACGCTGGTCCTGGTACTGCAGCCCCAGCAAGTCCTGCTGGGCATGAAGAAACGAGGCTTTGGGGCTGGCCGGTGGAATGGCTTCGGGGGCAAAGTGGAAGAAGGAGAGACCATTGAGGAGGGGGCCAAGAGGTGAGCAACAGGTAGGTCTGACCACAGACCCAGTTTCTGCATGGGGTGAGAATTCAAGCTATAGAGCCAGACCTCTGATTTCACCACAAAGAGCTCTGTGACCTGCAGCATGTCACATCACCCTTGAGCCTTAGTTTCTTTATCTGCAAAATGGGAATAATGATTTGGAGCCTGCCTTTTCCATAGACTATTAGGTGGTATAAGACATCACTAGGTTGGATTATGGTTGTTGTTGTTAGGTGCTGTTGAGTCATTTCTGACTGACAGTGACCACATGTACAACAGAACAAAACAATGTCCTGTCCTGCGCCACCTTCATAATTGTTGTTATGCTTGAGCCCATTGTTGCAGCCACTGTGTCAGTCCATCTTGTTGAGGGTCTTCCTCGTTTTGCTGACCCTCTACTTTCCCAAGCATAACGTCCTTCTCCAGGGACTGGTCCCTCCTGATAACATGTCCAAAATATGTGAGAGAAAGTCTCATCATCCTTGCTTCTAATGAACATTCTGACTGTACTTCTTCCAAGACAGATTTGTTCATTGTTCTGGGAGTCCACAGGATTTTCAGTATTCTTCGCTGGCACCATAATGCAAAGGCATCAATTCTTCTTCGGTCTTCCTTATTCACTTTCCAGCTTTCACATGCATATGAGGCAATTGCAAACACTATTGCTTGGGTCAGGCACACCTTAGTCCTTAAAGTGACATCTTTGCTTTTTTAAAGAGGTCTTTTGCAGCAGATGTACCCGGTGCAATGCATAGTTCGATTTCTTGACTGGTATGTCCATGGGCGTTGATCGTAGATCAAGTAAAATGAAGTCCTTGACAACTTTAATATTTTCTCTGTTTATCATGATGTTGCTTATTGGTCCAGTTGTGAGGATTTTTGTTTTCTTTATGTTGAGGTGTAATCCATACTGAAGGCTGT